TACATAACCTGTTATTCCCTGTTGATTTATTGCAGCTGTGCAATACCCAAAGTAAAATAATTATGTCATTCTCTAAGAATTTATCTTGCATGTTCTGATTGTTCAGTTGTATAGGACATGGCTTAAAATATTGATTTAGATCAGAGCACTTGATTAAAAAAAAAAAAATGAATATCATATACTGGATAGTAGTTTACACTTTTATTTTTCCAGAGTTACCTATCCCACCAAATTAGAAACAGACACTATCCACACTGGGTAACACTTGCAGAAACTATATGGGCCATGTGGAAACAACAGTCAGAAATCAGATATGCATGCACAGACAACACAACAGTGGACAAATAAGTGCCCATTACCAAGGACATTGCCTCAACATAGCAAAGTATTGTGGCAACAGCCACTTTAAGTTTGGGTGATGTATTGGTTCATGTTTCTGGGGACTGCTCTGTCAACAAGTCCATTGAGTAAGATAATATCAGGATAAAATGGTTTTTCACTTAATTCAATAGTTTCTGTAAAAATATATATATATATATATCCTAATTTTGAAATAATGATTTTTATACACTTCATGTCTTTTATCAGTACATGAAGCAAACTTTAGTCAATTCTTCTGAAACAGGGGTTAGAGATATGCAGCAGGGCCCAAAATTTTAAAGTCCAATCACTTTAACTCAATTGACCGATGCATAAAAAAAAAAAGAAAAAAAAAAAAAACACACACACATACACACACACACAAAAAAAAAAAACAAAAAACTTTAATCTAAAAACTAACCTCATTCAGGATAAAGAGATTCATTTGAATATTTCAAAGCTTTGATCAAGATCTAGTAAACTGAAAGTCATATAGTGTCAAAGTCAAGTTTTATGTCAGATAGTACTAAACTACCTAAAATAAAACTTTCTAGAAATCAAAGAAGACTTAGGGTGATCATAGGATCATTAATATATATATTTTTAGATGGAAAAAGAAAGAAAATGGTAAAATCACAGGTCTTTTAAAAGAAACACATTTTGTGAAATCATATCTTCTATAATAGTTGTTCTACAAAATATGAAACAAAGGGTGAACACAGTTCATGGATCATCTCTATAATCAATCTCTGCAGAGCTCAGTAGCCGTCGAGCGGGACCATACGTTTGACAAATGCAAATTACTGTAGCATAATGGTATCCTAATGAGGATTTACTGTCATGCAGGAAAAAATACATGCTTATTAACCCTGCAATTTCTATTGATGATGCTTTTAAGCTTATGCATTCGATTGTTGTATGCAATGTTGTTTCACTATACATGGGGCCATACATGTTAAGAAAGTTGCATCACTTGGTATATGGAATATCTCAGTTAACACAGGACCATATGTGTTAAGTTGTTGCATCATGTTGTATATAAAAATATTTCTCTAAACACGGGACCATACGTGTTTAGAAAGTAGATGTTTTGTACATGAAATGTTTGACTAAACACAGGACCATATACATGTTTAGTATGTTACATCATGTAATAGATATTGGCTAAACACAGGACCATATGTATTTGAATAGTTAGATCATCTTGTACATGGAATGTTTCACTAAACACGGGACCATACGTGTTTAGTGGGTCACATGTTGTAAATGGTAGATTTTCTAAACACGGGACCATACGTGTTTAGTGGGTCACATGTTGTAAATGGAAGACTTTCTAAACACGGGACCATACGTGTTTAATGGGTCACATGTTGTAAATTGAAGATTTTCTAAACACGGGACCATACGTGTTTAGTGATTCACATGTTTTAAATGGAAGATTTTCTAAACACGGGACCATACGTGTTTAGTTATTCACATGTTGTAAATGGAAGATTTTCTAAACACGGGACCATACGTGTTTAGTGGGTCACATGTTGTAAATGGAAGACTTTCTAAACACGGGACCATACGTGTTTAATGGGTCACATGTTGTAAATGGAAGATTTTCTAAACACGGGACCATACGTGTTTAGTGATTCACATGTTGTAAATGGAAGATTTTCTAAACACGGGACCATACGTGTTTAGTGGGTCACATGTTGTAAATGGAAGACTTTCTAAACACGGGACCATACGTGTTTAATGGGTCACATGTTGTAAATGGAAGATTTTCTAAACACGGGACCATACGTGTTAAGGAATTTATACCACTTTGTTTATGCTATATGTCACTGAGCACGGGGCCATACGTGTTGAGGCGTTTCATTACTTTAAATATACACAGTATTTATTAATTTATTTGAAATGTCTCTTGCTGACATCAGTTACCAATAGTATATCAGAGCGTTATACCATATGTATGACATTATCTGTATTGTTTGATTCCGCCAAGCCAAGCCAGAAGTTGTCTGTTGGTTCCTTATACCTATCCTCACAAATTTAAACCCTCAGTTTGGTAATCTGTTTTTCCTCTCGAGTGGTCAGAAGTTGTCTGCAGTTAAGAGGAACATTTTTATAAGTTTGACATCTCGGTTGACTGGTCAGAAGTTGTCTGCAGTCATGTGACACATTTTATGCAGCATGGTGTATGTTAGACACCTTTGTTGACTGCTTCAGAAGTTAACTGTCTGCAGTCACGAGGCATATTTTTATGTCTATGCAGCATGGTGTATGTTTAGCAACTTTGTTGACTGAACAAAAGTTGCCTGCAGTTAAGAGGCACTTTAAGGCTGCATGGTGTTTGTTTGATACCTTTGTTGACTGGTTAGAAGTTGTCTGCAGTAAAGAGGCACATTTTGATGCAGAATGGTGTAAGTTTAACAACTCTGTTGACTGCAGCATGGTGTATGTTTGATACCTTTGTTGACTGGTCAGAAGTTGTCTGCAGTCAAGAGGCATATTTGATGCAGAATGGTGTAAGCTTAACAACTTTGTTGACTGCAGCATGGTGTATGTTTGATACCTTTGTTGACTGTTCAGAAGTTGTCTGCAGTCAAGAGGCACATTTTGATGCAGAATGATGTAAGTTTAACAACTTTGTTGACTGGTCAGAAGTTGTCTGCAGTTGACAAGGTCATTGTCCATGAATATAAATTCCCATTTCGCTGTCTGGTTAATATTTACTACAGACAGGTGTTTTGTACACTTTTTAAAATTATTTGATGTTTTGCCCTTTGTAATGTTTTCACTCAGTCTTATTGGATGTTTCTTTTTCTTGTTCACAATAACTATTGTATTTTCAAAAAAAAAAAAAAAAAAAAGATGTTTAAATGCTTTTGTATTAATCATCCTGTTGAGGAATTTTGCGTCTCCTACCAAGACGCCTTTGGGTGGGTGGATCCAATCTCTGATTGGATTGTGGCTGTTTGTTATTTTGTTTTCCCACCTTTTTTGATGACAGGCAGCAGTTTAGAGCATTTTGTAAATGTCTTCCAAACTTATGATGTTTATAAGGGGGTCAACTTAAAATGCATGTATATTGTACCTTGTGAAAGATTACAGGGTTGGAATTATTATTGTAGTCTAGTTGACCCCCCTTTTGCCTATGTACATCATGTTACAATGTCATTATGGTGCTGGGGGTCAGATTGTGTAATATTTTGACTAAGATGTGTAATACTCTATATTTGAGTCCTCCTTTTTCTGACCCCCAATTTGTTAAATGTGTTTTACTTTTCCGTCATTTACTTTAATAAATGACATATTTCACTTCTGCATGATGTTATCTGTTTTTGCCTGTTTATCAAAAAACAAGCTCAGTCGTTTGGCAGGAGAACTAAGGAACATAAATTCTTTTGTAGATTGATGCTTAGTTTCTTTGAAGTAGATCTGATTCCTAGTCTGGAGTTGCAAAGCATTTTGGTTGGGCCAATTCTGGGCTTACCTATGTGGAATACAATTGCTAAAATCGTTCTCTTGATTTTTTTTCTCTATATTCATAAATGAAAACTTTTTTGTAGTGGGTTATAGCTACACAGCTATACATGTAGCGGGAATTTGTTTTGATGTAGTGTTTACAGATATTTCTAATATACATTTATTTTGCACAGCTCTACTTAAACAAGTCAATTTTCTGTACATTATAATTAATGACACTTAAGTTTGTGAGAATGAATCCGCCATTCATTTTGTTTACCTCGCATTTGCTGCGGACTTACAGGTTTCCATAGTTTTTTTCAACATCAATGTTGTTTTTTTCCTATGGTTTTTTCTGGGCGGCGAGGGAAGCATAATTATGTTCATACATTCATTTATGGAGGTCAAAGCAAGTGACGCATATAAACAGAGTGTAAAAATACCTTCTTGTTCTGTGATAATTGATCAATCATTTTTGATACTTTGTAGAAGGAAGGTAAAGAGTCGATACCATCGAAAAACCTGTTTGTAAATTTATACGTGTAGTGAATGCGGCAAGCAAGCGGTTCTATGTGTGGACGCCTTTAGGACGCGTTAATATTTGTACCAATCAGTTTTATTAAATCTGGCTAACATTGTCGCCTCCTCTATAATTGTGTTTGAGTTGTTTTTGTATATGTAAAGAGAATATGAAATAATTTATGTTCGTCTGAGCGAAGCGAAAGAGAACATAAAAGTAAAAATCAAATCTTTGTATAAGGCAACAGAAACATACTGCTTCACATTTTCCTCTTTATTGTACACATGTACACAATACTTGAAGAATTTACCATGTAGTAAATTCCATAGATATTAATATCTAATACCGGAGAATATTGATACCATTCTAAAAATTATCAAAACTCATTTTCTCATTTTTGCGTTCAAATAAAAGGACTTGTAAACTTTGCATTGTTGACAGTATTGCGATTGTACGCTTTATTAAAGCCGGTGCATTTGCATATATATATATATATATATATATATATATATATATATATATATATATATATATATATATATATATATATATATATATATATATACCGAGTATGAAATTGTAACATGAATTAAAATGTCACCTATATGTCGGAAACGAATGTGTTCATTTGCCTAAGAAAAGAAAAAAAACCCCATATATTTTATCCTAATACTTGGTCCATCCGCTATATAGTAATCACTAGATATTTTAAAGGTCGGAGTCTAAAGAAGGAAGTCTAACACTTAAATCAAACTTCCGGGAAAAGTCTCACTTCCGAGTGAATTCGACTGTGGGGAAATTCTAACAAGTTCAATTATGCCTTCAACACCATAAATATTAGGACCTTTATCTCGATTCATGAAATATATTGTAGCTAAAATTATGTCGATGTACCTTTGTAGACAACCATTGCTTCAGAAGAAGCCCATCCAGGATTGTTGATGAACTCCTCAGTTTTGATATCTACAGAACAATTAAACTAATTATTTTAATTTTTTTTAAAAGTATCATCGGACGAGAATACAAATGCAATGGTTCAGAAGATATTGTTATCAACTTATTGTATGTTTCTAAAAAAATGTAAAAATATTGTCGTTTTTAATCAAATCTTTGTAAAAAATATATTTTTTACCTGGGTCGAAATTACAAATGAATTGGACAATTGAATATTTTTTTTATTCTACAGTAAAACTCGTTAATAGCAAACACGCATTAAATTATTTTTTGAGTACCTTTCAATGGTTGTTAAAAAACTAAAGCACTGTGACCTATATTGATATAACGTGTAACGTACGAAACAAGTGGAAAACACTAAGCTATATGCACTTTTACTGTACCGTATATACTCGCCTATAAGTCGGTTTTGTTTTTTGACGTGATTTTGGTGGGATTTGCTATTGACCCGCTTATAAGTCGGTACAATTTTTTGCCAAAATCTGGTGACAATTTCAAGTAAATCCATTTATGTTCTAAACTGGTTTCAATTAATATTTTTCGAAATGATACTGATATTTAATCTTAAATTATTAAACAATTGGCCAAAAAAATGCTCATCTAAAATACAATTAAAATTATTAAAATATTTTAATACTTGTACTTTTGTATATAATCTAAGAATACATTAATTATTTTATTTATCCACACATGTTCTTTGATAATTGCCGAAAATGCAAATAAGATACTATCTTTAGCCTCAAGAAAAATACCAAACACTGTATGACTCGCCTATAAGTCGGACATAGAGTTTTAGACCAATATTTAACTCCCAAAACACCGACTCATAGGCGAGTATATACGGTATATTTTTTTTATGTTGTGTAAAAAAAAATCCAGGTTACTTAAATCGGGTTTCTTTAAAAAATTACACATGGATAATATGACAAAAAGCTGGTATTTGAAATTTATCATTTCAACCTACATGCAGGGGACATTTGAAGTTCACAGTAGTTTCCGTAAAAACCCTCTCTACAACTTTGACAACGTCCAGCTTTTTGGTTACACGTTTTTAGGCACGTTGTAGGACACTGATGTTGACAGTAATCCCCATACAAAGATCCGTTGCATAGGTTACATATCCCAGATATAGGGTTACAGGAAGCACAGGCTTTTCTACATTTAGCACAGTTTATTCCATAGTGGTTTACAGGACAAACTACAATTACAATTTCAAAATTATTACACATATTTTATACAGAGAGGATGTAACTGAATGACGTTTTGTATCAGTAAAATGATTTCTGGTTAAAATGTGTGTTAAAACTTCAAAATGGCATTTAACAATGTTCAAATCTGCATCAAACAGTTTCAACAATAAAGGAAATTTAGTTGCTAGGTAAAACAAAGTCACATACTATTCATTATTGTTAGAATTAGAAATAATTACTTATAGGATGTACTTCAAACAGCCTCAATGGTCCTTCGTCGATTCTTCTAATAACAATAGAGTTCCCTTTAAATTCTTTATCACACTCTACTATAATGTGGTATTTTGTTGCCGGATTATTAAGCTTCAATAATTTGCACAGGGTCGACGTATTTAGATGCCGCAGAGTTTTAGATACGTGCATCTCGTATTCGCCTAATTGAATTAAGACAAAAAAAATAATAATAGTCTTATCTTACTAAAGTATCCTTAACTATTTTTTTTAAGAAACTGGTTAAATGTTAGTCTAAATAATTTACCTCCTCTGATAGAAAGCAGTATCCATTTAATTTTATAACTATTGTTCAGCATCATATACCATGTTGCATTGTCCCGTGCTTCAATTACAAAGTAGGTGTCTACATCACCGTCTAAAATCTTTTTGCCTTCATCGCCACCAGAATGGTTCTTTAGCGGGATATTCCAAGATTCAAATTCTAATTGAAAAAAAAGAATGAATTTCTTCCAATTTACCCTCTCTATTTACCAGGTGTACATGTAACACAGCAATGAAACGTTGGATAATAATTCATACTTATTGGTTTTATTTCATCAATTTGCAGGGCGCCATGATCTAGTTTAAAAATAATAATTTTGTTTCCTTCAATAGGTCCATAGTTATCGAGGTTGCAATTTACAATTTCACTTTGGGTAGTTGTATTGCACGTTCTTTCAATTTGGGAACAAATTCGGGGTTTATGGAATTCTTTCTGTATGTGGATGGCGTATTGTCCTGTAAAAAAAAGAAAATGAAAAGTGTAATGGAAACGTAAATTTTATCACTCAGATACTCAACATATATAAAGTTAATGGAAAGAGAAGATGGTCTGTGGGTTAATTATTATTTATTATATTGATTTGAATTCAAACTTTGATTTAGGGATATAATACGTTTAACACAGATCAATATTAGTCCATAATATGTATTAGTATTTAAACTACCGCAGCGAATGCTTAGGAATATCCAGAAGATTGAATAATCTCTATCAAGGGTCATTGACCAGTACTGTTTTCGGTCATTTCTGGTAAGGGAAAATGTGTCCAAGTAGTCATCACAAGCGAAATGTGCAGAAGACGATCCGTTGGTAGATGACTGTTTAGCATCGCATCTTACATCCTGAGTATGACCTTTCAAACAATCCCAAAACATAAAAAGTACTATTTACTGTCATATGCTCAATTTTATAAACATAAATATAACTTATGATTTTTCATGATTCATTTGTATGAAAAATCTGTTCAGCTCTTAACATTTTTATGTCATTTGTTTGTATAATTACAAAAAATAAAAGAGTTTAAATACATGTACGTACCTTTAGTGAAATTATCAAATAAAAATAAAGATGCACACAAGTATACCCAGGGATTGTAAACCTTTAATACTGATGGCATCATATAAATATTTCTCCACATGAGGATAAACATAAAACAATTCTATCTGTTAAAAGTATTTCTATCAACTCAGTGTTTCCGTACCTGCACATGGTGTAACAACGAACTCTGTACAGAAACTGCCTCATCTATGTTCGAATAAATAATTTTTACGGAAGATAATGACTGCATATATCCTACACTGCATCTATTTTCTTTCCTCGTGTGTCCTGCATTATTCCAACAAAGCTATAAAGAAAGAGAGGCAGTGTAATGGATTTGTCAGTATTAATGTTCATAGTAAATTAAAGTCAGACAACGCAATTTAGTTGATTAATATACTTTCCAAGAATTTGTCACAGAATAACTGTTTCTTTAACAAGTTTCCCCATAAAGAATAAAAAATACCTCAGTACTTTTATGCAAAAGATAGCAGAGGAAGAAATTTTCAATATTATTCAATTGTGAATTAGTATCATGACCAGTATCTAAATCTGGTTTGCTTTCTATATAATTGAAATATTTTGACTACAACTTAAAAACCGCAAGATACTTATGAAATAATATTTATATATTGATTTGCCTTATACTTTGGTGAGCTACTAATCAGGTTTTTAAGCAATGCGTCGTCAGACCCCAAACTATACGAATGTAGTACAAAACAAAGAATTATTAGGTAAATGCTTTGAAAGTTCATCCTTAATTTTACAATATATGAAATATATATTCAAGAAAACTGAGTCAAAATGAGCAGCGCCTCTTAAAAAAAAAAATAAATCGGATCCAATACCGTTTATGGGAGGCACTTTTAAATATGAACTCATTCTATAATTAATTTGATGAATCGCAAAGTTTGACAGTCTATCCATTATTTACGATCCAGCTGTGTCCTGTGGTTTTCGTCGGCTAACTGCTAAATTTTAACTCGATCACGGGACAAACTGCACAAACAAGAAAAAGAAAAGAACTAAAAGTAAGTGTTAGATAAATTAAACCATAAATATTAAACTATTGCATAAAAAAGTAAATAAAATTCTTAGCTTGAGGATTTTTAATGTCTAGAAGATTAATATCCATAATTTCCTACTTCTATGGTGGCACGTACGTAAAAGTTTCCATTGACTTAATTGCAGCATAAAAATCAAAACAAATTAAATGATAACTAAAAGTAAACCAGTTAACAAGTTATGTATTCAAATCAGCTAGCATAAAAATTAATATACCTCAGGATGAAAACTGTAAATAGTTTTACATTAGTTAGTTTGAAAGGACAAGTAGGATTCAAAACGATTTCCTATCAATGAAGAAAATTTATCTTATATATTTATTAGTGTTCTTTCATTTTGGAAAATAATTTTTAATTATTATGTTAAGAAGACACGGTATTCAAGAAACTGATATTAATATTAGTATCCGTTGAAGTTGTTTGACGAAAAACATTTTATGTAAGTGTATATGTTGCACAATTAATCAATGTCTAGAGGAATACTTATGGTGGCATATTTCTGCCCCCTACATGCAAGATAAATTATCTTAACATGCAACATAACTATGTAGACATGCAACATATTTATGTTAACATGCAAGAAAATTATGTCAACATGCAAGTTACAAATTTTATAAGAAAATATAATTTAAATGTGGGTAAATTTAATTACTAATGCCTGTATCTGACATTTTAGATTGAATATGCAACATAATTATGTAGACATGCGATTTATGTATGTCAACATGCAAGATAATTATGTCAACATGCGACTTATTTATGTCAACATGCAAGATAATTATGTCAACATGCGACTTATTTATGTCAACAGATAAGATGATTATGTCAGCATGCAACATATTTATGTCAACATGCAAGATAATTATGTTTACATGCAAGATATGTAAGTTGATACAGTGTATGCAATTTATTATTTTGCATGTTGACATAAATAAGTTGCATGTGAACATAAATATCCTGCATGTCCACATAATATCTTGCATGCTAACATAAGTATCTTGAATGTCTACAGAATTAACTCGCATGTTGACATAAATATCTTGCATGTGTACATAATTAAATCGCATGTTGACACAACTATCTTGCATGTCAACATAATTATCTCGCATGTTAACATAAGTACTTCGCATCTTCTCATAATTATGTTGCATCTTGCATCTACGATGTCAGATACGAGCGCCAGAACGGGATTTTACCCATATTTAAATCATACGGAAACGTATAACTGCCTCGTTTTGTTGTTTTAGAACGCGATTTTATGATATAAAAATGTTGTCAAATACAATTACTTCAAGGTTTGGCGATTTAATAATGACAACAATCTCTGATGAATAATATTTTTCTTATATGTTTTAGACGACTTACACACTTTGATATATCAAAGTTGAATTCCTAAATGTCGCACTAAAATAATTTGTAAACATTATGCCGCTTCAATTGAATATCGCAGACATTAGTGCAATATAATATATATGAATACTTCGCTTAGACGACTCGATTTAATCAAAGAGAAAAATTCATCAAAATTTGAACGTCATGTAACATCAGATTTATACAAGATACCGGATTTTATCAGTCCAATTTGGGCCCCCGAAGGAGCAAAAAAATATTTACAAACAAAAGAAGGAGGAGGATCCAATTAATAGAACAAACATAATCTTACATATAAGGAGAGCAATTGATAAAAACGTGTATAAGAGATATACTGAATATACATACATGTATTGCATATGTTATAATAATATTATAGTTAAAGGCAAGAAACTGGGAAAAAAGTACATATATGCATATCAAAATATCCTCAATTAAGGTAGATTACCAAGGAATCTACACTGTAGCAAGTGATCTAAGGATGTCAGGGTATTCATTAGTCATGAGCCAATAAAATTATTTATCATAAGATAGAGACTGAAAATTTTTACATTTAATTTTACAAATATTTTTGAGTTCAAGTCTTTGTAATTAACAGAATAAGATGAGGACATACAAAGAAAAAAATAATTTCATCCTAAATATAACGTATTGCACTGAGTTGATGTCTGATTTAAATAAAAAATTTCAAATAGTTATAGGATATCTTGCAGGCTCTTCCCTAAATAATAAATCTCATGAATGTTACTTCAAAGGACAGTCACTATATTTGGTAATACTTGTCCACTATTCAAACTGTGATAACGATATCTTTAATCTTATTCTTAGCTTGGAGAACATATCCAGAAATATAAGCAATAAATATTTTCGTCTGATGTGATGTCATGCATTAAATATGGCCCCGAAATATTGTGAATTCAAAATTTCAAGAAAGTTGGTATATTTTCTTTGATAATTCAATTGGAAAAAAATCGAGCGCACGTCTGCACATACTCTATTTTTAACATGATGTGTAGATTGATAAAATGAATGAAATAAGTTGCATTTTGTCCTCTTTCTTTTTGAAGATAACACACAAGCTCATTAGTTAGTTAGTGCTGTTACGACACAATTTTTTTCCCCAATCATGCTTTGATTTATTTGGTAAATTCAGATTTATGTTATAATTTATACCATTATATATACATTTTATGAAGTTGCTCTTTGGGAACATTTAAAAAAGCATATACATAAAGAATAATAACGCTGCAAAAACTACAAATTTCTTTTTGTTTATTCTGGGAAAAAAACATTGCAATTACCGACAGCGTGAAATTTTTAGATTTTTATCATTTTTAAAAATAATTTTTTTTAAATAATCCATTTCGAAGAATAATAATCAAGCACGTAGCCACGGTTTTCAAAGAGTGTCCCATGTCCTTAGTAAAGCACACACTCAGAAAAAGAGGAAAGCATTTTCTAGAGACCCCGGTATGCACTACGGGCCTGCAAGTAGTGGTATAACAATTTGAATTTTTTTATTTAGATCAGACATCGATGCAATGCAATACGTTATATTAATAAATCTGGTGTGACAAGTTGTTCGAATTTTGCTGAATTTTCTCTTTGGTTAAATCGAGTCGTCTACGCGGAGTCTTCATATATGTTAAATTGCACTAATGTCTGCGATAAATAATTTTAGCGGCTTAATTTTTATACATTATTTTAGTGCGACATTTAGGAATTCAACTTTGATGTATCAAAGTGTATAGGTCGTCTAAAACATATCAAAAAAGTATTATTCGCAAGAGATTGTTGTCATAATTAAATCGCCAAACCTTGAAGTAATTGTATTTGGCAACATTTTTATATCATAATATCGCGTTCTAAAACAACAACACGAGGCGGTTATACGTTTCCGTAAAATCAGATTCCCTTAAAGGATTTGTAATTATCTTGCATGTTGACATAATTTTCGTGCATGTTGACATAATTTTCTTGCATGTTAACATAATTTATCTTGCATGTAGGGGACAGAAATATGCCACCATAAATACTGGAAGGACAACTACCCATCTAAGTGCCTGCAAGTATTTTTGTGATTAAATAAGTAATCTTAAAAAATTGAGGGAGAGGGCTAAATTAGGCTGCGCCTGCTGCCCAATCCTATTCACGATAACATCAGTATATAAAATATTGTTTAAATTAATTAAAAAATTGTAATTTCAAAGTGAAAATGACATTCATTTTATTGATATTTATTTCTATTTTGTCTTTTTAAATATGAAACAAAAAAGTTTTTATTCGAAAAGAGTTGCCATCAACTTTTATCCTTTGTACGGATTTTTCAACATCGATGGTCTAGATTTTTCCAAAGTCCAATGGTCTGCACCAAACCCTGATGGTTTTAAACGCCAAGGTCCGATGGTGCGGAAAATAATTAACGTTTGTGACGTCATAGTACTACTGCGCCAAATTTTAATGGTAGACCGTGCCAAGATCTTACATAAATACAAATAATTATGCGAGTACAAACCCTTATTTCTCGGATAGGTGCGAAACTAACCCTAATCGGTCGAAAAGTGTGTAAGAAACTTCTCGGGTTGGTTCAAAGCTATCCCATAACCAATTTAGTAATGTGCAAAGACTAACCCTAATCAGTCAAGTGGTGTGCGAGGACTTGAATCCTTAAAAATCTCAAGTGGATGGAAAATCATTAAAATTTTATGCTAGAACAAATGCAGAAATGATTTATTTAAAAGAGTAACAACGTCTAGGATTGAAGTCGGAATATTGTGACGTCATCAACTTTGATTGCTTCAGCGCACCATTACACTTTCACGCAGCGTGTCTCATAGGAAACGAGCCATCGGAATTTGGCGTGACCATCGGACTTTGACCTCCGTATCGACATCAACCCATCGG